TTGTCACATCAACAACAATTTAAAAGTAAATAAATAAAAAAATAATGAAAGTAATTAAGGTGTAATGGATCAATATGTGAACCCAGGAGTTTAATAATAAATTGATGAATTAACATCTTCAAAGATTGGACATTTAGTAATTGATTTAGCAGAAGTGACAATGAGAGTTACAGGAGCTGTTGATTCTCTTACTGAAGGAGTTAAAGCTTTTGGTAGATAAATTGAAGAAAGATTGAAATTAGAAAACACTTAATGGGAAGTTATTGAAAGTGAACATAATGCTAAAGTTATATCTCTTAGTTCATAAGCAAATTAAGCTGAATTTGATATCAATAGAGAAAAGAAAGTTTTAAATTCAGAATTGATACCACGACTTCATGAATTAGATGATGTATATTATTATTATTATTTATTATAGATACTTTTAGGACTTAAAGCTAAATAAACAGATAATACTTAATCATTTTAAGAAGCTGAAGCTGCTAGAAATACACAACATAATTCATTTGTATTAACAACTACTGAATTTACTGATGCACTTAGAAATATTGATGAAGCATTAGATTTATTAACTGATCTATTTAAATCTGGAGAAGTTAGAGCTGCTTTTATTGAAGTTTCAGATGAATAAAAACATAAAGTTAATAAAGCTTTAAGATAAGTTAAAGCTAATACTGAAAACTTTGGACATTAATATTCATCTTTCATTTAAGCATTAACCAATTTAACTGAAGGATTCAATTTTAAAGATAGATAAGTTTTAAAGGAAATGTGTGATTTCTTAAATAGTTTGAGATTAAATATTTTTGATGCTTTAACTAAAGCTTATAAAGATGAAGACAGTTAAAAATAATAAGATGAATTAAGAAGATAATAATTAACAGCTGAAAAAGCAGTCTTTGATTAATAATATGCTGATTTCTATTAAGAAAGAGAAGATAAAACTGTTAGAATTTCTGATGTTTAAACTATGATTTCTACAAGAGAAGCTGATCTTAAAGCTTATTAAGATAGATTAAGAACTGAAAATAATAATTATTCAGCTAATCTTAAAATTCATGATGATATTGTGGTATTTTATTAATCTTATTCATTTTTTATAGGCTTCTGTCTAATAAGAATTAGCAGTCTTAGCTAAAGCATTATAAGTTGTTTAAACACCACCATTTTTAGATTTCTTAAATGGTAGAATAGCTAAAGCATGATTTAATAA